ATTTTTCCTCAGTGTAACATACCCATCAGCATCAAACAAGCACAGCTATCCCCCACAGCTCTTGGTTCCCTTGGCTAACTTAAGAGTTTAACATCAATCACATCACTTCCCCCCCCTAAAGTGTCAACGCTGTGGGGAATGCAGCTATTGTCAAAGAGATGTACCTTTCAGGCAATTATCTCTCTGTGTCCTCCCTCCTCCATCCTTACACAAGGGTTTCGACTATTAGGTCAAACACATACTGAGACTGAATAATCCTCCCTCTTGGCACGTTGTCTCATACAATTCATGTGTAAGTGAAGCCATAATTACAGCTGCAATAGGTAATAAGACTTTCTTCAGGCAAATATGTTGCGTCTCTCCGAAAATAGGAGAGACGTACAGTATGACCTTTTTACATGACTTTCAACTTGTTTTTTGGCTTTCATGTATTGTCGGTCCTACATTTACTCCTCTTTGATGATCCAATTGATTACCAGAAGAAACTAATGTAAGCAGCGTTACTCTGTCCAAAACAATCCCACTGGGAACAATCAGGAAAACATTGGCACTTAGATCTTTACAGTAATATGTAGGAAGGGAGTTGGAGGCCTGTTTTAATTGATATGACGGGAGAATACCATATACAACACACGGGGTTTTAGCCTTACACATGCAAACATGTTGCTGTAATGTGTACTATGAATCAAGTGGTATCATCTAACAAGATCTACTGAGCTGCAGGCTGTGTCTCGTAATATTGAGCTTTAGCCATAACATAACTTCACAGCAATCATTTAGGACCTCACGTCTATAACTGACATTACAAATACGCTCCAAGAAAAATTCCAAAATGAAATAAGCTCTTCCACAGCGCACTAAGAGTGAAGGAAATAATCCTTCCTTTCGTGTCTCTTTTAGAAGGGAGATCACCAGGTTCATTTGGATGTTGTGCTAAGAAGGCAAGGCAAGTTTATTTATATAGCACTTTTCAACACAAGGCAATTCAAAGTGCTTTACAAAAAATGAAAGACATTAAGAAAATGGCATTTAAAATCAGTCATTAAAAAGAAAAGCTAATAAAATAAACATTAAAAGAAAAAATACATGGATAAAGGTTACAGTGCAGTCTAAGATATGAATAGTTCAATTAAAAGCAGCGACAAAAAGAAAAGCCTTCAGCCTGGATTTAAAAGTAGTAAGAGTTGCAGCGGACCTGCAGGTTTCTGGGAGTTTGTTCCAGATATTTGGAGCATAATAACTGTACGCTGCTTCTCCATGTTTAGTTCTGACTCTGGGGACAGAAAGCTGACCAGTCCCTGAAGACCTGAGAGATCTGGATGGTTCATCATTTAGCAGGAGGTCAGAAATGTATTTTGGGCCTAAACCATTCAGTGCTTTATAAACCAGCAGCAGTATGTTGAACTCTATTCTTTGACACACAGGAAGCCAGTGAAGAAGGGAGAAATATTTAAATGATTTCGTGATTGAAGGCATTTTTATCGTTTCTGCCTCCCGGGATCTGATACTGAGCCAAGAACAGAGTGCAGGTGCCTGATGACTCCCCTTGAATGAAAATGGAATTAATGGAAAGCAGGTGGGTACTTCAAAGGCTCACTGCTCCAGCGGTATGGCCAAATGTGGCTCTCAACCGCCAACATCAGCTGTTGTCTCTTCCGTGTTGAAGTTAGCATTGTGAATGGAAATAATTAGTTCACATTAGAGACAGTGCAGAGTAACGCAGCTGAAAGACGAGATATGATGTGTTCCTGTAGTGTCAGGAGTTATTTGCGGGGTCAAACTACAGACTTGGGTTTGTGATCTTTTGTAACTATTTTTGTAATAATATTTATAATGGTATAAGTCAGTAAACTATATGTTGGTTTTTACTCTTGCACTGTCTGCTTTACTGCACTAATAAACTCCTTTTACTTGAGCCATGTTTGAATAATGTTACTTAACTTAACACTTGCATGAACAAGTGAACGTTCCTAAACAACTAAGGCACATTACCTCGTGTTTGGATTTAATTCGATTTTTTAAAAACCCGAACATGACCCAAAAAGTATTTGCATAATAGCTGGAAATGTTCCATAGAAAACGCAGCCGCAGCAATCTTTTAATGTTTCTCCAGCAGATTACAGATGGGAAGGAAAGCTGTAGGAAAACAAAACGCTGAACGTGTCAAATTCCAAACCGTCCTCAGGAAGTGGTTTATCATTACATTACATGTTACTTGTTAGACGCTTCTATCCAAAGTGACTTACATACTCAATACTGTGGGCAATCCCCCACAGGAGCAATTTGGGGTGAAGTGTCTTGCCCAGGGACACAACGACATGCTGACTGCAGTGGGGTTTGAACCTGTGCTTGATCCGAACACCAACGCTCTATCCACTGCGCCACACGCCTCCGTATCATCATGTCTGACATTGAATACTCAAACATGGCCATTACAGAAGTCTCCATTTTTAACAATTTATTTGCTGGAACGTAGCTTCATTCTTCTCCACACTGAACACACATTCAGGATGTATTTAGTTTGTACCGGATATATAATATTCTGTTCTCGAGCAACCAACTTAAATCCTGCAGTTGTTTCAGTATGATCTTCATCTAGCTTTTGTTATAAGACAATTCCCTTTTGGAATGAGGAGGGATCAAATAAGCTATATAAATATATATTGCAAAATGCAACTCTTTCAACATCTGACAGCTGCAAAGTTTAAGATGTGTTTCTATTAAAAAAAGCTTTTTCTCAGTAATTATGATATCTTGTCTCTTTATTTGATTTTGTGTTGTCAGCTGTCAAAATTACCGTGAAGTCTGCACTGCGCAAAACCAGTTTCCAGAGAGAACAGGCATCTCTTTTGACAGATCACAGTTATATCTTCCCTTATTAAAAGCATTTTTAACATCTGTTCAAAGAAACGTGTCAGTTTGATAACAACATTGTGTTTGGTCCTAGTTGTCTGGCAACACTGATATCATTTGTCTTCATCTTGTTGCAAACATATTATCTCAGTTTAGACTTGTATTCAATTTCTGTCCAAAATATTTAATCCATAAAGATTCTCCATTTGAAAACCCAGATAAGTTGGTTTTAACATCACACAGGAGAACTTCTATCCGTACCTCCATTGACTCAGAAGATGAATGTAGTTCTAAGAATATAAGAGCATCCCTATCTTTGATTCTGCAGTTAAAGGTTGCTCTCAGCAGGGTACCTACTCCCTGGGCTTCCCTTCTGTGCTGCATAGTCACTCAGATCAATGCGTTCTTTCACCAAACTTCACAGAGTACAAGGTGTTTCCAGCAGAAAGGAGACACACACAGCAGTCTCACAAAAACAACCAACCTTGCCTCACAACTAATCTCTATGGAATGTTTCAGCAAAAGTATTTCAAGGCATTTTGAGGCTCTCTGTTGGTCTGCCTCTTTAAAACAGCCATTTCTGCCCTTTCGAAGGAAAGCCCCTGGGATCAATCTGTAATTAAGAAAGAAAACCTCAAGCTTAATACAGCGGGGAAGAAAAAAAAATAGATGTAAAAAAACAAATGCAAGAGTACGGGGTGATAGACAAGACTGATCTGAAACACAGGGAGAATAATGCTTTTAAAAACACTGAACAAAGTGAGACAGTGTAAACTCAGAATAATGTAACACTGTCCCTCCTCAAGGAATTTCTCCATTTTGTGTCACATTCAAGGAAAGTCCCCTCATAAGGTATCACTGCAACATGTTAAAAACTACCTGGAGAGATGTACTTCAAAGCCCTGTCTCTTTGAAATTGTACATAAGGTGGTGTACTATGATGAGGGCTACTTGGTCAAAATGATCTTTAATCATGAATGTGTCAGTCTATTATAAATGTGTCCACAAATGAGTCATTCATAGACCCATATGAGATATTCATACATCGTAATGGTGTCATATTCATTTTGATGCACTCTGCTACACTCTCACAGCCAGCCATTTTCCCTGAAGACTTCTCACTGCATTCCATTGTGCAGGAGTGATCATGATGTAGCTTCTCTTGTGGAATTTGCCGGTTTGTTGGAGAGGGCGCAAATTGAAATCAGCATGTGTGCATCAGGTTGTTTCTCTGGATCCTGTTTCAGAGAGGCAATGTGAATGTTGAGTGCTACAGCAATGGAGGAATGTTGTTCTTTCTTTGGTCTGTCGCACATCGCGGCCGTTGCCCCATGCCAAGGAAAATACCTTGCAAACTGCTGACTTTGATAACAGGGGGAAATCTGATTCTGTCTGCGTGCACTCACTCTATCGAGGCAGGCAGTAAGCAAGCTGTTTTGAATCCCCAATGAATGTGTTTTTCTAATGACTTTTCTCTCAGAACATTTGTGTAAATAAGGGTCACACACAAAAGCACAGTTGTTTGCAGTGTTGTTTGCATGTATGCTTGTCTTTTGTGCATTCGGTATACAACAATCAGCAATGGGAATAACGGGTGGAGAGAGGTGCTGGGGATGTAATTGACTTCCATTTGATATTCCATAAATAAGTATAAACACAAAACATGTCCATTATAACTGCTCATGTGTTGCAAACGTCACATTACTGTACAGTAATATCAATTTATAAAATGTTTAACAGTAGGATGAAGTCTAAAATCTTGTTTTATATTGTTAGAAACTGCGTTACTATGGTTCTATGACATAATGTGTTCCCAACTGCACTTGGGTATTATACTTTTAAAGGTTTTAATGCCATGAATAAACATAACAACACTTTGAAACACCTGTTAAAATACAGGCCATGTTGTAACTACATATGTGCATACTGTACATAATGAGAAGAGAAAGCAAAGCCCTTGTGAGGCAAAGTGAGATGTGTTACATGTCTGAATGCCTTTGCAGGCGGTAATGTTGACTCTGGAAGCTTCATGGAGCCCTGGCTGCTGCAGGCCAGGAAACATCACTCGCACTAGGGCCATGTGGGACCTCTCCTTAAAAAAGTTTCAGATTTTCTTTTTTCACAACCCATTGTAAGCAATCAGGCAAATAGAAGCTTGCAGTGCACAGTCGCTTCTTTCCAGGAGGCAGAGAGCAATGCTCAGTCTACTGACAGGAGAGCCAGCAGACCGACAAGAAGTCAGGACATATTCTCATAGCAGAAACAGACGGTAACACCAGCAGTGGGTTTTCTGAAGCCCACTTTTGCTCTCCTGGGTGTGATTGCTCCTGAATGCACATTCAAACTATTCTACTGCTCCCACCAAAGATCTGCAGATGCACTCAAATCCAAGCTTATTATTCAACCCTGCCTCTGTCTCAAGACTCCCACAAAAGCTGTACCCGCGGGAAGAGGATACACATGTTTTATTGACAGAGCTACAGGTGGTTTGAGTTTGAGCTGTTGGGTTTTTTCCTGTGTGGTAAGCTGAGGCGTCTTTAGAGCCAGTATGTTGCCTATTGTTGTGGCATGTTTGGTATTCTTCCTGTTGGGCTCGGGTCAGGCTCAGGCTCAGGTTGCCACACAGACTCAGGGGGAGAGCCAGAGTCGTGGCCAGGGGCAGGACAGCTCTGCCAACCCTTGGAGGCAGATGATTCAGTGGGAGAACAATGGACGACTGTTTAGCCTGCTGAACAGTGGAACTGAATACGTACCCGCAGGGGCCCAGGAAAGAGGTCCCAGGGTGGTTGTGGCAGACACTCAGCCACGCTCTTCACGTAGACCTCAGGGAGGCAATGTCCGCCGACAAGCTCCATCAAGAGGGTCCTCTGAGACTGTCCGTGGCCAGGCAAGGCATCCTTTTGGCTTTGGACAAGTTCCTGATAACTGGAGACAAACTGCAGGCAGCACAGGGGGCGGCCAGTTCCAAGGATCCACTGGCACTCGCCTCAGGCCATCCACAGGCTCTTCATCGTCATCATCATCATCATCCTTTTCTTCATCTTCTTTTATACCATCCTACCCACAAAACCCATTTCCTCAACAACCTCCTTTCCAACAAGTACCTTATGATCCTAGTTTTGTAGAAGGGCCAGTCAGGAGCTACGAGCCACCTTTTCAGCCTGTTGCCGGTGGAGGATTTGGTGGGGGAGCATATGTCGGTGGAGCATATGGTACTGGACCGGGGTACACTCAAGAAGGGTATGGTACTGGACCCGGGTACACTGGAGGAGGGTATGGTACTGGACCCGGGTACACTGGAGGAGGGTATGGTACTGGACCCGGTTACACTGGAGGAGGGTATGGTGGTGGTCAGCCCCAAGTGTTCCCAGGCTCTCCTTCTGATGTTTCTGAAGATGGCTACCGCTACTACCAGCCTTATGGCTATGGGCCAAATCCTGTGGTGCCTGCCCGTGCAGCCCAACCTGCCCGTGCAGCCCAACCTGCCCAACCACCGTTTGCAGATGGTCTGGACCACAGATACTCCCACAGTATCTTCAATGCGGAGACTGGTCAGGCTGTACCTGCTGTACCTGCCCCTGAATTCAACCAGGCATTTCCTGTGATAGTGGACAGGACAGGAGCAGCTGGTCAACCACAAATCAGGAGCCCTCAGTATGAGCAGCTTCCTCCATTTGGAAGACCCCAGCCTCCTGTGGCGCAGCCCATTCCTCAAGCCAGAAGTTCTCCAAACTCCGGCATCGAGAACCCCAACGTAAATGTCGGGAGTGTGTACCGGCCAGAACAGAGAGGTATGGTAAGCTTTATGGTTTGGGTTTTTTGAACTACCACAATGTATCCATTACTTCAAATGTTGAAGATATCAGTAGAAGCTGTGAAATGTGGATGGGAGATTTCGAATCATGTGTTTGAAGAAAAGTCGGCATCTGAAATATTTAACATTTTCAGTGGAAAGAGGAGACACATGTTCACTTGTAGGGATTCTCCCAAAGGTATTTCTGTTTTTGATCAGATTTATGTCTGATGCTGAGACATGAATATAAAATGTGTAGACCCTAACCCCAACTGAGGGGAATACAAAGTTTACATTTCCTTTAAGCACATACTGTAGTCATCTTTTTTCCAGTATTCTTCTTACATTTGATCAGATATCTCCAGCAAACAGAATGAAACGGCTGCTTACAATTCAGCCTGTTCTTCAGTTTAAAAACACACCAAATTGGACACAAGGTTCATCTTTTCCCACTTGTATAGTTATTGAAACCAGGTGTTGAGCGAAGCCCTGCCCGTGTACAAAGAGCACACACAGGAACCACTGTGTTTTCTGTGGGGAGTTCTATGCTACACAAAAGTTGACTCGTTGACGCCGTGTGCAGAGTTGGGTAATGGTGGTGGTGACCTCATTGGGGGTCTGGTAACAGGGGGTGTTGGTGGGGTCTGGCTGCGTCCTGGGCTTGAGGACACCAGAGGGAAAACTAGGGAGGGGGATACAGTACTTCACCACTCCCTGAGGGGGAGGGGGAACATGGAAAGTCCCTGTAATGGGGTCCATTGCTTCTTCAAAATCCAAGAAATACTTAAGTCAGAATTATTAGGCCAAGTATGAGTGACGATAGCATATATTCACTTAAACATTTAAGGTACTATGAAGTAGAAAGCTCATTGTTAATGCTGAGAAAAGAATGCAAACATGAGAAGTTTTTCTATGTTCTGAGCTGAGAGAAAATAAGTACCTCCAAAAGACTTCTCTGACTCTTAATAATGAAGATTTACTTTAAATTATACTACTCAATATTTTGTGCTGCAGTTTCTATCAGAAACTATAAAGCTTGGAGCCATACAGTACAGAAAGCATGTGTGCAGATGCCATAGTGAGACAGTAATCATTGTGATAAATATTCAGCTATTGATAGCTGTTGAATAACTCACATTTATATTGCACTGCTTTATGGCAAGTCATTTTGGCTTTTATAGTTTAATCATGACTACTGTGATCTACACGTTTAAAATTCACCTAAAGTAACTACACAGGCATATATATTAACCATATTCATTCATTTATTTTAAAACCTTTTTAAAGCCACCATTGCGTTGTAAGGAAGTAAAGTACATATGAAACACTATATGTGTCAGACATTGTCGATCCCCCTCATTCCTTATCGGGCAAACTGATGAAGGATATTCTTCAACAATGAGTTCTGTTTGAGATTCTATTCAAGGGGATGAATCCGATCAGTTCAGAAGGGTATGTTACTGAGGGTTGGTAGTACTCTAGTCCAGTCGCTGCTGGAGGGACCTTACACTGTGCAGCCTTGGTAAATGTATGCACACCTTGAGTGTAGTTTCTGAAAGCAGTGATCTTGCTGTTTTTGTATTAAAACATGTATGATGGTAAATATGGGACGAAGAAGTTTGCATATTGTCAAGACCAATTGCCCTTTCTACCCACACTCTCATATTCCCTGACAAAGCCACACACAGTCATATGTGAGAGTGATTAGACGTAAGATTAGTTCATTAAGGCAGAGCTGTATTACAAAATAATGCAAAGAGTAAAAAATACTACCAGGCAAAAGTGGCTGTGATATACTCTATATTTAATTATTGAACGCTGTTGTGATTTTCATTTTTAAACTGACCTCAATGAACATGAAGTATTCTAATCTATCAGTCTCCTGCAGCTAACCGCCAATAGCTTAAAGCAGGAGTGTCTGGAGAGGGAGCCCTCATGTCTTTTGTTATGCTTTATTAGATGGTATAAAAAGCACCACAAGATTCAGTTTCCTTTCTCCTTGCCCCACTTAGAGTGTAATGTGTGGCTTTGTCACATGCTGCCGAGAGCTGATCAGCTTTGGCTTCTCAATACACTTTATCCCTCTGAAAGAGACCCAATTTTCGCATTTCAAAAGATTAGGAGGCAGAGAACAAAGCCTTCCTAGGGTGAGGAGAAAAAAACGAGGTTGTGAGTGCTTTCAGAAAACCTCTGCGTTATGCGCTGGACTTACAGGGTTTACGTAGCCTACCCCAGGAAGCTCCCCCCTCTCTTTGACTTAGAGAGAGCTGTCATATAGGATGTTTTACACAATGCCCACAAAGGCAAAGCTTTTATTTTCGACTTGCAGCTGGGGAGGTAGGCAACTTCCTATCTGGTTGCCATAAACAGACTGTATCTAAAGCCTTTCATGTTGATCCAAAATAGGAACAACTGCAATATTTCATCATTTCATATTGCTTTATTTGTAGGATTGAATTATTACTTCTAGACTTAGAGGTCAGATGTTTGACTTTAACAAGCTCAAATTAAAGTGTGTCTGGCCTGTGAACTTAACAAAGAGGGGTGATAAGCAATTGCCAGAGACCCTTGCTGGCTTGGCCTTTAGTGGGAAATGGAGAGAAAGACATTCACTGTGACAAGTCAGGCCTGGCGTTGTTACTTGTTCCTCAGGTTTGTGACAGACCTGGTCAGTGGTGCACTTTACAAAACAGCAGTGTTTTCAAATCCCTGTTGTTTTTGCCCTGGCTCGTACGTTCTCCCTTTCTGGCTCTCTGTCTGGCTCTCTAGCTGTATCTCTTCATCTCTGTCACGAGAGACAGACTGGCAAAATCCAAAGTCTGAAAAACACAGACTGCATTGCAACAACCTCTCTTGTGATACTGTAGATCAGGAATCCTAGTCATCTTACATACATACTAGTCATTCTTTATTTTACGGTTACAATGAAGTGACATGTTTGCATAAAGATCAGTGCACAACTGCACATGGAAGAACAAATCATTAGGAAAACAGTTATTGGTATACAAGTTTTTCCTTTTTGCAACTCTTATGCTCTCTCATCCGTGTCTGGCAGGCCTATTAAGCAAAAGTGTTATTAGAAAACCGTGATAATAATCTGAAAGGATCCGTTATCAGTGGCCTAAGGCTCTCTTTCTAGTGCCCCACTCTTGATCCAGTGCCCATGTGACACGCTATCCCCCAATAAGTATCACCATAAAGACTCCATTAATAAAAAGATGAGTTCCTCTGTTTCTGGGCTTTGCACTGGCAATGACAGGAATGGCTGCAATGAAAAGAGATGCTTAACAGATCATTGGATCATTAAAGTAAATCTTAACAATGCTTTATTTGTTTGAGTCTAAAACTGTCTAATCCAATTAGTAATCACTCTTTTATTTTCACCATTTGAAGCAGGTTTGTTTGATTTCGAAGAAAATGACTTTTTGGAGTAACTTTGAGTGTAAGGCATTATATGGTGAGCATTGTGTCTTCCATTACAGGTTTGCCTGACCTTGTTCCTGATCCAAACTATGTCCAGGCTTCCACATACATCCAGAGAGCCCACATGTATTCTCTCCGCTGTGCTGCTGAAGAAAAATGTCTTTCAAGGTAAACACAATTCTGTATGTCCTTCTGCTGGCCTGTGTTTATTTATTCATGCATGTATTTAGTTTCTTAATGGGTTCAATCTAATGTCATGGTATCACAAATATTTGTGTCCCTTTGGGTTCTGTTTTCATGTTAAAGTTATAATGTCATAAATGTTGTTATTGAATGTGCTAATAATGGTTTGTGGCTCAGTGGTAAGCACACATACAGATATCCAATTGAGGTATATTAAACAACACAATGTAGCCCCCTGTGTCCTGTCCATATTTAACCCTGCTTTAGACCATGCATTTACAGAGAATAGTTTTTATGAAAGACTAACATCATTTATAAGCTGTTTTACCTTTGGGTAGCATTACCCAGCAAGTGAACCATCCACAATTGCAACGTAGCCACAGGAATATACGGTTAAAAAATGTACCAACTGCACAACATTAGAACTGAATCCTGGTCACCTTTGGGGAAACAGACTGTTGTTACTTTCATTTCTCTGTGTTGGTGGATGGCATCCCCTGAGCCTCAAACCTAGGCCCTTTGCACTAAAGACACTATTGAAATTGTGAAAGTGTGCTGTCCCCACGGCTACTCTATTTGCCCTCTTCCCATCACAAGCACAGCCATCGCTCAAAGCCCTTTCATATCCTGTCTGAGTTTGCAGCAATCACCGACAGATGGGCTGTTGTAATTTGCAATACACTCCAATGTCAACAACAGCCGCAAGATGAATGGCTTAGATCTTCAGTGGTATTGTGAACTCGAGGTTGTTCCTCAGTAAAAGTGAATTGTGCTACAGAATCTCCTCATGTTGAATCAGTGTATTTGGAGAGATGGTTGTAATCTGTACAGTAGAATAAATGATTAAGTAGATATGCTTCTGCTTTCAGTCCTGTCCAGTCCCACTCCTGTTTTCTTTCCTTGTCTTAGTAATGAGAAACAGGCATGACGACATTCTTTTTTAAGCAACTTGTGCTGTTTCCCTCACTGATTTGGTCCTGATGTATGTGTCCGTTATCCAGCTCCGCCTATGGGCCTGAGGTCACCGACTACGATGTAAGGGTCCTGCTGCGATTCCCACAGAGGGTGAAGAACAAGGGGACTGCCGACTTCATGCCTAACAGGCCACGTCATACCTGGGAGTGGCATAGCTGTCATCAGTAAGTACCGATACAAAAACAGATTTCACCCAATCAGATAAATGGGCTTTTGTCTCTGTGGTATTAGCTGTTGCAGTATCCAGCTATTTGGCACATTAATGTCAGCTCAATTTGATTTTTTTTGGAACAAATGTCTGTAGACTGGTTTATGCTGATCATCTTTCCCATTAAAAGGTTATTCCACTGTTACAAAAGAGACAGATTGTCAGATCTAATAGTGAAATGCCTGATGTAACTGAATTTGTTACATACATACCATGAATATGAGTCATATTTAATTAATGTATTGAATTATGATGGATGACGATTTGCAATTCTGGGCTGATCTGGATGAGCAAAGACACAGAGTACATCCAAGTAAGTTTTATTTAAATAGCCCGCTATCAGAAAATTATAAATCTGCCTCAAGGGGCTTTTCAATCTCTACAGCATATCATACCCGATGTCCTAAGACCATTGAATTGGTTAGGGAAAAGTGCCTTAAAAGGGAAGAAATGAAGGAAACCTCTGCAACTTATGAAGGATCGTTTTCTTTTGACTGCTGAAATGTAATCTAGCTGTTCGTCATCTCTCGCTATGCGGACATGCTTGTACTAGATGGTGTGGGTACAGAATGGATCAACAGAGCACTGAGTTCATGTCCAATAAGTTGATGTGGCACATGGCAATGTCATTTGGCCAGACATAAATGCAGATTAGCTGTCATAGAGCCCTATAAGATCCATAGTGTGCCCTACAGGGATATGCAGCATGAAAAGACAAGCCTTGCATTGGTTAGCCGAGAAAGCACACATATGATTCTGTAGTCTTAAAAGGAACCTATGGAGTTGATTAGCGTGCCAACCATGTGTGAAATAATATAAAAACGATAAAATACTCCACATTACATGAAGAATAATGGTGTATAGACATGTGGGTTTGATCAATTTAGCGAGCTTATTTCTCATTGTGCCTTTCATGGTGAACAGATTTCAGTTGTACTTGCCAGTCGTGGCTCTGGGGGACTGCTGATGAGGTGATTTTGGGGTTATCGTCAGTGTTTGATGGCATTGTATTCCATCGACTGCATTTTATCTGAATTTCAGCTACAGTAGTTCGCCCACTGACGATAGTGCCAGGCTCTGCTTTACTACCCTCCTCTTAGAGGAATGTTGACTGGCCGTTAGGAGATTGGCTGTGTTGTTGCTGTTTGACATCAGTCTGCATTCGCACAGTGGTTCCCAGGAGGCGGAAAGCCAAGACAATCATTCGACAATGGCAAATCAATGCAGTTTTCCCGTCAATCTGTGGCGCCAAATCACACAGCTGCTAAAGGATGATGGATATGGGTTACTGGGACAAAGTGTTTGTTAACAAAGAAATCTCTTTAGGGGAAGAAAATCTCTAGCCCAGATTCTCACAATAAACTTTCCTGCCCTACATTTCTGTTAAAGAAGCCGTGGAGTTGACAGTCTTGCTTTTCATTACAGTCACCCTTATATTTCTCTCTGGAGTAATAGAAGAAGGGAAGGGAACAGCCTCTCTTGAGTATCATGGTGCCAAGAAAATGTTGGAATTCTGTATGTTTTTGCACAAATGAGGACAACGAAATCCATGTAGAACATATTTGTTTATGCCAATCAGTGCAGGAAACAAGTGGGAGTCATTATAATGCTGTATTTATTTTTGTAGGAGTTTTTGTGGGGATCACGCATAAGTTAATTATAAAGTTCTTCAACTATGTTTGTCTCGGTCCCTTACGGCATAACTGTATGAAAGTATGTGACCTTTGTGGTCAGAGATCATGGCTGCTATTTGTGCAGGTGCTTGGACATTTGTATTCATATCCTGCTTGCACATTGTGAACGGTGTATGTCATGCCACTGCTAAGTACTTCTCAAAGACTTAAGTTCCCTGTAATTTACAGCAACCCAAGCTGTGATCTGAGAAAAAGTCTTGTTTGTGGCAACACCAGTGGAAAATTACTCATGGCTTCGAAGAAGGAATGGAATGTTTTGTATACTACGATTACAAATTATTCTAGTTAAATCCTCTATGTGTTCTTGCAACACTGCATTCTCTGTAGTTGACATAGTCGGCGAGGGGATCCAGAAAAATCGAGGGTCCCTTCCAGGCACCTCGTAATCCAGCACCTCCCACTCTCTGTCTTTTTCTCTGCACCCCGCACCCTTTCTTTCTATTTCACACACACATACACACACATATATGGTTGATAATCATCATGCTGTAGATAATCATCTCAAGCCACTGAATTGAATGCCAGTTTGGGGAACACCAACAAAGACTGTTATTCAACCTTCAAGGCCCTCCTTTATATACATGTGATCAGATATACTGTCACACGTATTGAAAAAATTGCATGCGTGCTTACGTGGCCCACATAAAATAAGCCTGTACACTCTGCCATGTATATTTGCATGTTAACAGAGACAGAACAGTAATGTATGCCCTAGTCTCAATGCATACAGTGTTCGGCAGCTGATAGTAACTGACAGGTTTCTACCTGGTAGCAGCTCATAATTAGTTGCCTCTCCTTTGGAAAGAATGAGTCCTTGAATGGTCACTGGCTCCATTAGGGGAAAGTACCTATATTTCCTTCAATCTTTAATGAGTGTTCCAGTAAAAGCTGTCGCTACGTGGAATCATTAGCCATGAAGCAAGGCGAAAGGCAATATTTATATAGTCCGAGTTGGTCTGAATGTGTAAGATTCAGTGCTTACATCGCCCACTGCAACGACGTAAGCCAACAGCAATTAAATATACTGGATAAAGCAAATAAACAATCAAAGGATAATGGAAATAAAAACTTTCAATAACTACAAAAAGGTGGAATTACATTTGTAATTTCAAACTGTAATTTGGGGAATATTGTCATATTGATTTTTGTATCTAAAATATAAAGAGTTTAGCTATTGGGATCAATTTAGTATTAGAAAGGTTGTTGTCAATTGTGTTGGATTGGGGACATTTTGTCCTTGCTAAAAGTTGCTAAACTTTGTTATTTATTGATAAGGAATTTTGACAACATGAAGTTAAACCGCTTTTATGCAAATAAGAGAGTTCAACCTCTCAGGCACAGCCTCTTAACACTATGGGAAGACAGGTCAACTAACACATACATACAGTAAATTCCTGCTGGCCTTCACTACACGATGAATAAAGCTGTGTCAAAAATATTTCCAAAACATTTGTTCATGTATTCCATATGACAAAAATGGCACATTGATAAAACACCAATTCCTACTACTGTAATACTGTATGTTGCTTTTTACATTGAATTGTAATTGGGGACACTTTAAATGCTTGTCAAGCTCAGCTTTTGTTAACATTGAATCAACATTGATTTAACTCTGTTCATTTGCAGGTTGAACTGTAATTTGTGGTGGTATTATGTTATACTGATAAACACCTCCTCTGAGCCTCATTAAGGTGCATTGCTAAGTTAGACTGCTAACTATGTAGCTTCTTGTCAAATACAATTGTACACACAGTAGGACCTTTGCCACCTGAGTTATGCAGACCAGAATGTTGGTTGCTATGCTACTTTATTTGTTGTGGCTGTGACAAATGATGTCATGTCTGGAAATGCTTCATGTTCACACCCACTGCCATCCATAACTATTCTGCTTGTGTATGCACCACCAACAGCGAGCCAGTTATCCTGTCGTTTATTGAGTGCTTTCAATGAGCTATAGAAAAGTAAATGTTTGCTAATGTTTCTGGAAAGGTATTTTCAGACATTTGCACATCAAGGTTCACTTTTCAGACATGTAAACTCAACAGATAAATCCCTTTAATGTATTCCTATTTTGTTCTGACCACAATAAGCAGGCTTGTAAAAAGTGAAAAGCATCCCGGGTCACTTTGACATTTGGGAGCGGTCCAAGCCATACAGCAGGTAATATTGCAGATGATTTTAAATGGACCGGCTCTTTGACAGAGTTCAGTTGAGATGATCAGTGCCCATGTGCACCCAGGCTTCCCTAAGCTGCTAAAGCTGTGCAAACAAACACACTGGGCGACACACACAGATGTGCACATACGCATGCAAATAGCCACAAGTACAAACACATCTAAATGTGCACACGCTCACACACCTCCGATCTTGCTGAGTGATACAAGCTAATTAACAACATTCATACATCATTAGGGTGTTAATGTCGTGCCTCGGCAATACTTTATTGTTGCCATTAATTAGTGTCCTTTGATACTTTATGATGTGTTCAGTCAAGGTGCAACATTACTTGTTAGCAGAAAAAGGTCAACGGGTCTATAAATCCACTGTTTGTCTTAAAAGTCAACTAAATTAGCTAAATGAAGGCAAAATGACAATGTAATTAATAAACCTAGTAAAACCATAATAAGTTCTGCTCAGAGATTGTTTCTAAAGCACACAATGAATAACAGATGACACCAGAATGAACTAAGTGTGTTGTTCCTCTTTGACTACATGCACAATCTGTTTTCTCCGACAGGCACTTCCACAGTATGGACGAGTTCAGCCACTACGATCTACTGGAGGTCAGTACAGGACGGAAAGTGGCGGAGGGACACAAGGCCAGTTTCTGTCTGGAGGACACCACCTGTGACTTTGGTCACCTGAAGCGCTATGCCTGCACCACTCACACTCAGGTAACGCAGCAAAAACAATATGTGGAGTTGTGATTTTCACCGTCATTGGGAGGTCACCAGCTCTACTCTTGGTAGACTACTTTTCATCACAAGCTTTAGCAACCCCTAGGCCAGTTTCCATCCATGGCAGTTATTCAATTATAGAGCAGCACAACTCCAAGAAGTGCTTCATTATTTACATTGTCCAGTCATTTTCTAGATTAATCCATTCATCTTTTGGTCTAGAAAATGCTATAAGATTGTTAAAAGAAAATGTCCATCCCAGTTTTCTCGAAGTCCAAATATTTGTTGTCTTTTGGTAAGTGTCTTTGAAAATCCATCTATTAAAATAATAGTAAAATTGTTATTTTCTATGATATATGTTTATATATACATTCAATATATATATGTACAATCTAATATAATATACAAGTGCACATAATTGTATCTACTGTAAATAAATCTAATATATATTTGTGTTATAACTTTTTGACCGCCTACTCGTCTTGGCACAGTTAGAGGAGATCAGTATTCCTCCTGAGCGTCTCCCCTCTGTTTCTTCAGGGTCTGAGCCCGGGCTGCTACGATACATACAACGCTGATATTGACTGCCAGTGGATCGATATCACGGATATCCAGCCTGGAAACTACATACTAAAGGTAGGAGTCAAGCTCGTGGAGAGCACAAGGTCACATTTCATGGAGGGTCTGGGCCATCAAAACAAATTGATCTGAGTTATAAAAGAGTAATTAAGTTACTGAAGTATTTAGGTTGTTTTATTTCTCTGGGTCCTAACACTTTATCACACAGGGGCATCTATTCCAAATACCTTCCTCTTCTATCACTGTTTAATGTAATGATTATGGTGTGTTGTAATTGGCCTTTTTTCCCTTTTTCTTTCAGCTCACAGTTAATCCCAAGTTTTTGGTGCTGGAATCAGACTTCACCAACAATGTGGTCAGGTGTAATATAAACTACACAGGACGGTTTGTTAGAGCATCCAACTGCAAGATAGCACAGTAAGTAACGGAGAATATACACACTAGTATCACATAGTTGGTTACCGTTTGGTAATAATTGACTGGAAGCAATCTTCTCACAATTTGCAACAGCTGGGAAATTGTTTTGCTTTTATAGAACGCCAAAGCGTAACTCAGGGTGTGTGTCGTGTTCCCACCACTGAGTTACACTGAACCGCATTACTTAGGGGCTAACCGCTAAATGCAGTTTTATGAAGTGCCTCACAGTGTTTTGAATTACTTAGTGGACTTAATAGGTGCCTGGCTGAAATATTTGATGATATAATGAATAACTTTCTCATTCTCCAGTTAAGATTCATAGCCTCTGAAACTTTCATATCCTCCCTCAAAGGGAGATGTAGTGCTGTTGAACTTTTGAATAGCGCTATTAAGGAGTGTATCATTGCACTCAGAATTGCTCTCATATCCTCTTGAAAAGACTTTATGTAGAGAGTGAGGAAAGCGTCATTAGGTTCAAGTGCTGCAGTCGGTCTCCCTTAACTCCAGCGTTACAGTGAAACACACTTAAAAATATGTTGCCCAAGCATTTTTGGACTTAATGACAGCTGAATATAATAGATAGGTACTGATGCCAATAAAATGATTACATTAGCAGATGCCATGAGCCATATTTCCATCATTAAGATCTTATATTTGAACTATTCCTATATCTTAAAAAAATCACGTTAATGTATGTAATAATGACCGCAGCCTGGTAGTAATAGTTTAGCAGGCATTTTCTGCCCAATGTGGTGTGACATTTAAATTTGAAGGTAGTCATCCAATTAAAAACAAATCATCATTACATATAAATTACATAAATTCATCATTAAATTGTAATTAGAAAACATAAGTCATGTTGATAACATTGGTCACCTGCAAGTATTGACTGTGAGAATGTGATTTTCCATAATAGCTGGTCACCATTAAGGAAAGGAATACTGACTTTCGTCTGCCTCTTCCTGAAATCAATTAGCTACTGCTTTTAGAAATGTATTACAGAATACAAGTGGTGAATCTGCCGCTGTTGGCCCTGTAAACTGTGCGCTGTGGAAACAGAAAGATGGACGATTTGCAATAGTAAATAATAGCTATTATCTTAGCACACTCCTTACTAAATGTTGTTGGTCATTTACAATTGGATTGGTTAGTTACCATAATCAATTTATAAGAGAAAAGAAGTTTGTATAGTTAATTGAAGTATGTACCACCTTTCACTGTTCATTATAAACAATCTATCANAGCAAGACTCATACTGTACACCAGTTCACTGTAAGACATTTTAAACAAAATTGTATGCCACATTTTGAAAGGGATTAAACAAAAGACTACACTCCAAAGCTTTTGTTTAAAATGTCTTACAGTGAACTGGTGTACAGTATGAGTCTTGCTGTAATTTCTTTTCGTAAATTCAACAACTTTGCAATTCATCACATACTTTGACATACAGTAAAAAATACGATAGACGTTACAAAAGTATCTAAATATGAATGTGTGTATTTATGTGTGTTTCTATTTGTTTATTTATATATTATGTATGCCTTGTTTCATATTTTAGTCCAATATGAATACCCATGTTTGCTCTGTTTTCGGTCTCCACCATCTCCTGACAGCTTGCTTCAAGCTTTGCAGTTTGGTGCTTGTGAAATTATGTCCTGTGGGTTTATGATAACTTTTTTTGCCGTGTGCTGCGGAAACGTTACGTTTTGCTGATAATTCCCCTGTGAAATTTGACACCCGGGTGTCCGTAGCTAACAATGTTATTTAGCCAACAATGCTATTTACAACCGGGTGCACATAGCTAACAATGCTATTTACAATCGGATGTCCGTAGCTAACAATGCTATTTACACCCGGGTGTCCGTAGCTAACAATGCTATTTACACCCAGCTGTCCGTAGCTAACAATGCTATTAACAATCGAGTGTCCGTAGCTAACAATGATATTTACACCCGGCTGTCCGTAGCTAACAATGCTATTTACACCCGGGTGTCTGTAGCTAACAATGCTATTTACAATCGGGTGTCCGTAGCTAACAATGCTATTTACACCC